TTTTAAAATTTCCAATGTTAATTAAAATTTTTTGAATTTCTTTTGAAAGGTTTTAAGCACCGAGAGCGAAGGCAGAGCGAATACGTTTTCGATGTTCGCATTATGAGAGTAAAACGAAATGTATGGATTGCGCTTTGAAAGCGCTACACGTTCAATATTTATTGACGGTATAGCGATCCGCGATCCAGATAAAAATTTTTTTCGAAATTTTGCGATATGGATCACGATCCATCAAAACTGCATGGTACACCGTCAATAAATATCGCGATACTTGGATCACGTCAATAAATACTGACCGTGTGACAGGGCCCATTGGATCGCGTATACCTTGCATTAGGTTCTTTCTCTAACAATCCGGACCGGATCCGGAAATGGAACATAATCCAGAAGTACGGGAACGCAAAAAACCACATTTCGTGCCCAGAATAGAACGCGGGGTCCCGCGGGTGCCCAAAGTAGCCCAGAAATCATTCCCATACTCAACAAAATGGGTAATAGAGAGCGAAAATTGGAACGTATTGGATCGCAAGTGTCTTCTTCTTCCTGCCCGAAATAGCCCAGACTTTTTCTCCGGGTAAAAATGGATAAAGCGTCAAAGTGCATATCAGCTGTTTTGTGTTTACATGTTGCCTTCATTTACTTGGTGATTTTAAGGAATAGTGAATGTATTTTCATCTTTATATTTTTAAAATCAAATTTGTGAAACAAAAATTCAATGTCATCGATAACGACAAAAAATTATCCAACACACAAAAATTGAGAGAGCAAGCGTTCATTTTGATGCAAGAGAAGCGTTCATTTTGAGCTGGCAAAATTTTAGTCAGCAAAATTTATCCAACACGAAAACAAATGATCACAAACCATATGGTTGCAATTTTTGTAAACAAACAAAATTGCATTTTTCGAGTTTTGGTATTTATATGCTTTTTGGTGGCCTGCTATGCGACTTTATGATAGCGCCAACTAGTTTTTACTTCTAGAAATGTCCCTGGCGAACATTGAACGTTCACTTTCCTTTTTTCTTCCATGGAGGCAACATGAATTTCAGTTTGTTTACAAATAAAACATAAACAAAGTCAGCTGGTGTGTCTTCTTCTTCCGGTTTTTGCAAGTGATGGCTAATTTCCTGTTCGTCTACTTTTTTGCTTTTTCTTCTCTTTTTTTTAGAGAATTTTCGCTTACTCTCTTGATTTTGATTGTTGGCTGGTGTTGGCTAATTTTGTTATCGAACGCAACTATTCACTAATTACCGGATCCGGTCCGGATTGTTAGGGAAAGAACCTAATTTGAGAAACAGCTGATTCACGTTGTTTTTGTTTTTGTCACTTATACCATGTTCTGACCGACAACGAAAACACTTTGAAAACGTGTTTTGGGATTGTGGGCTGAAGGCTGTTCACACCGGCTGTTAGTGTTTTCGTTGACATTTCTTACAACCTCTGATTACAGTTTTGCTACACAAAAACATAACCAAAATGCTTTTCCCTCATTTTCTTTTCATTAGCAACCTCTTACTTTCATTCTTATTTTACTTTTGCCAGCCAATTAACAATAAATCCGAAATGGCGTATTAAAGGTGATAAAATATTAATCCACTTCGATAAATAATCGAAAAAAACTAGTGAAGACACCGATTGGAATGAGTGGAACGTGTTTTCAAGTAGTTTTCAGCGAAAACTGGTTTTCGTTTCACAGATTTTACATGGACGAAAACACAAGTTTTAAGTCGGAAACCAGTTTTAGCAACGAAAACATGTTTTCGATGTCGGTCAGAACATGGTATTAAATGCAAGCTCTTTAAATTGAATTTTGGTTTCACAAATTGGATTTTAAGTATATAAAGATTGTAAATAAATCAACAGGCCATTATTCGCTATTCCTTAAAAGCACCAAGTAAACGCAGCCAACATGTAAACACAAAACAGCTGATATGCACTTTGACACATAATCAATTTTTACCCGGAGAAAAAGTCCAGGCTGTTTCGGGCAGGAAGAAGAAGGCACTTACGATCCAATACGCTCTAATTTTCGCTCTCTATTACCCATTTTGTTGAGTACGGGAATGATTTCTGGGCTGTTTTGGGCACACCCGGGATCCCGCGTTGCGTACGGGAAATAACCTATTAGTAGAATTCTCTTTCTATGTTACGAAGAAAAGGCACTGAACACCTTTTGCAGAGAACACTTTCTCCATAGGCGGCCTTCGGCCGCACTTAGGGATTATAACCAAAGAACGTAGATAACAAGAAGGGACAACTCGTTATAATTGTGTCGAAAGTGCGCAACAGGACGTGCCTTCTCATTTCATACAATCGAAAAACGTACTAGGGCAAAAGAGAAGGCACGCCCCTGTTGCTCACTGTCGGTAAATTCTAACGAGTTGTCCCTTCTTGTTATTTACGTTCTTTGTTATAACCCTCACAAAGTATAATTTTCTTTCTGCTTTGCGAAGAAAAGCCACCGACCACCTTTCGCAAAGAACACCTTTCTGCGTAGGCGGCCTTCGGCCGCACCTAGGGATTATAACCCTCATAAAGTAGAATTCTCTTTTTGTGTTGCGAAGAAAAGGCACTGAACACCTTTTGCAGAGAACACCTTTCTGCGTATGCGGCCTTCAGTCGCACTTAGGGATTATAACCCCCACAAAGTAGAATTCTCTTTCTGTGTTGCGAAGAAAAGGCACTGAACACCTTTTGCAGAGAATACCTTTCTGCGTAGGCGGCGTTGACCGCACTTAGGGTTTCTAAACTTTTTTAATAATTATTTTACATTAGAACTATACAACATATATATCAAGTACGTATACCAAATTATAGGGAATCAAGTTTCCTATAAAATAAGATCAAAATGTTCATCCATTTGTGTTTAAGAAATCTTGATTTCAAAAATAGCTTATTTTGAACTTTAACCTTTGATAATTCTTGTTGTTTTTGTTACCCAAAAAAAAAAGTACCGTTATACTGAGCTCAATCAGCTCTATCGATCCCAATATTTTTTTTTTTTTAGATTTGGAGCCAAAATTCATTTATGTCCCACGATGCAATAATACAAGGTTCGATAAACTGACAGAGTCTCTCTCGCACCGCTCCGTTAGCAGTGGTACCGTGTTGCTTCTTTGCAAATTTACTTGGAAAAAGTGTAGTTTTTCTGTGAAATAGAAGTTTAAGCTTTTGTGCAGTATGTTTATTTGTATATGCATATGAAACACATTTAACTGATGAAAACATAAATTGGATGTTTACATAAATCCCATAGTAGTTTTATTTTAATTTTGAGTCCTTTTCAGTTTTTATACAGCTAAATAGCACATAAGTTACGTAATTCATGTAGATATATTAATATTTCGTTAAAATGCCAGATTTCCTGCAAATACACTAGAATTTACAAAAGGAATTTCACCAATTATTGCCTACTTTGCGTACTTTTCTACTACAATTCTCGTAAAAAGGGATTGCTCTCTTGCCCCTTCTGTTCTTCTTAAAGTTTAGTATCCAGCTCTTAAGAAAACGGTCAAGAAAATATTGCCATTATTTCGCGTGTGTGTCCAAGGAATTTTGACATTTTTTATACCTCACAGCCTGTTGCCTCACTCTTTCCTCAAGAAATAATGGAACGGGCATATATTTCTGTTGCAAACCTGGGTTGCCTTGTGCTCTTTTTTCTCAAAAAACTTTAGAAAACCGTAGTAGAAAGCGTACTAAATTTCTGAAGAACTGCGTACTGCCTTAAGGAAATTTGACTCAAGAAAATTTCTTAGCCATTTCTTGTACGTCATTTTATATGGAGTTTTTGCTTTTCTTAAGAGCTGGATACAAAGCTTAAAGCCCTGTATGCAGCTCTCAAGAAAACGGTCAAGAAAAAATTGCCATTATTTCGCGTGTGTGTCCAAGGAATTTTGACATTTTTGATACCTCACAGCCTGTTGCCTCACTCTTTCCTCAAGAAGTAATGGAGCGGGCATATATTTCTGTTGCAAACCTGGGTTGCCTTGTGCTCTTTTTTCACCTAAAAACTTTAGAAAACCGTAGTAGAAAGCGTAGTAAATTTCTTACGAACTGCGTACTGCCTTAAGCCCTGTATGCAGCTCTCAAGAAAACGGTCAAGAAAAAATTGCCATATTTCGCGTGTGTTCAAGGAATTTTGACATTTTTAATACCTCACAGCCTGTTGCCTCACTCTTTCCTCAAGAAATAATGGAACGGGCATATATTTCTGTTGCAAACCTGGGTTGCCTTGTGCTCTTTTTTCACAAAAAACTTTAGAAAACCGTAGTAGAAAGCGTAGTAAATTTCTTAAGAACTGCGTACTGCCTTAAGTAAATTTGACTCAAGAAAATTTCTTAACCATTTCTTGTACGTCATTTTATATGGAGTTTTTGCTTTTCTTGAGAGCTGCATACAGGCCTTTAAGGAAATTTGACTCAAGAAAATTTCTTAGCCATTTCTTGTACGTCATTTTATATGGAGTTTTTGCTTTTCTTGAGAGCTGCATACAGGCCTTAAATGTAATCTTTTGTATTATTGAATCATGTTTAAGGCCTGTATGCAGTTCTCAAGAAAAGCTAAAATTTCATACAAAATGACGTACAAGAAATGGCTAAAAAATTTTCTTAAGTCAAATTTCCTTCAGGCAGTACGCAGTTCTTAAGAAATTTGCTACGCTTTTTACTACGGGTTTCTAAAATTTTTTGTGAAAAAAGAGCACAAGACAACCCAGGTTTGCAACAGAAATATATGCCCGTTGCATTATTTCTTGAGGAAAGAGTGAGGCAACAGGCTGTTAAGTATCGAAAATGTCAAAATTCCTTGGACACACACAGGAAATAATGGCAAATTTTTCTTGACGGATTTCTTGAGAGCTGCATACCAGCCTTTATTCTTTTGGTTCAAAAGTATCGGTGCCAAAATTACTTGGTATCGAACGAAAAGTATCGAGTATGAGCTTGTATTTACTCGTATCGTTTCATTCATACGCTTAATTTTATTGTTAGCAACAATTATGTCAGAAATTATTTTGCCCGGCGATCGTATTTTTGCTGCGGAAGAATTAGCCAAAACCAAAAAAGTTATTTTAGGTCCTGGTCTGCGACGAGAAAATGAGCAAGTATTCGCGTGTAAGCCTGGAAGGCTTCATCACAAAGAGCCAAACACATATTGGATTGATAACTATCAGCAACGCTATGTGCCTGTGAGAGGTGAAGCTGTTATTGGCGTGGTTACAGCTAAGGCAGGCGATATATTCCGAGTAGATATCGGAGCACATGAACAGGCATCACTGTCTTATTTAGCTTTCGAATCAGCCACAAAAAAGAATCGACCGGAGGTAAATCCTGGAGATATAATCTATGGACGCTTAATTGTCGCCAGCCGCGATTTAGAGCCAGAATTAGTATGCGTCAATTCAACAGGAAAAAAGGGAAAACTCGGCGTGTTGGCAGATGGTTTTGTCATGCGCTGCAGCTTAAATCTTGCGAGACTAGTGTTGAGGGAAGACTGCCCACTTTTACAAGCTCTAACAAAAGAAATGCCCTTTGAAATCGTTGTGGGATTAAATGGACGCATTTGGATTAGAGCTAAGAGTTTTGGCGAAACAATAGCACTTGGAAATGCAATATTGGCAGCGGAGAATGCATCATATGAAGAAATGCCGACAATTTGTGAAAATATTGGAAATATTTTGTTCACATAAATGTTTAAAATACAAAGTAATTGGCTGAGATTTCCAATAATGAACCATTTCCTATTTCAGGCAAAGTATAGCGAATTCTTTTATGAAAATCGCAAGAGGTGTTGAGGAAGTGTTCATTGACCGATGTCTTCAAGAAATGCTAACAGTTTTAAAGTTATTGGGCTGACTTTAGTGTACATCGACATGTGTGTGTTTTGGCAATGCTAGTAACGAATTTTCTCAAGAAACTTTACGTGGTTGCTAAGAAACAGATATGTTTACACAAATTCTCTCTATTTTCACTTTATTAATACAAGTATTTAAGTAATTTGTTGTTTAAATTGTTTGTACTTTCACTAGCAAATTTTCATAAGAAAAGGGCAGCTGTCACTTATATTTGCATAAATGCACGATCTTTTCAATGTTCACGCGTGATTTGTATACATTAAATGTATTTTATTTTATTTTTTAACAATATAAAACGCGTTTAATAATTATACCATAGTGAAAAGTATACTTTTCTTCAAAAGCTTCAGTAAAAGCAAGCAAAATCACATAAGGGTATGTTTTCCATATTTTTTGCGTTTTTTTAGAAAACAATATTAAGGAAGACGCCTACGTCGCTATTTCTTACAATATAAAATATTTAAAAAAGGTTTGTAATAAAGAATCGCGCGATTTAAGCAAAAAATTAAAAAAAACCTAAAAAAGCGTAAATTTTTGCCTGCTGCGCTATTAAAAAAAAATAAAAAGTGGGAAAACTTTCGCCGGCGCGCGACGTGAAAAAGTAGAAATTTGGAATAAAAAATCGCGTGTTATTACTTTTGACATTATTTAAATCGTCTGGCAGCACCAACTTCGGTGTTCAGTTGCAACCCTCGTGGTTATCGTGGTTAAATTAACAAAAATCTCATATTACTTAAAAGTAAAGGGTCACGTACATTAAAAGTGTTTACAATTAAGTCACATTGATGTATTTCACTTTTGGGTGATAAAATCGATGCAATTTACATCAACATATCTGTCGAATTTCGCAACTTTAACAACAAATTACTTAAAACCTGCAACAGTGCGCGGGTTGGGGTCATCCCATTCCCTTATATTCTGATCAAAATTTCTTTGTAGTCTGTGAAAAACGTGATGGTGCATTTATTATGGCCAACGCTCGAGGAATAACCTCCGATTCATCCCTGAAACATATATACAAGTGCCGTTGTACAGTGCATTGAATTCATTAAACGGATTATATAATCCTTATTGTGGGCTTTTTAGGGCGGCTTTAACGTGTGCTGGTATTTGGATACGTTTTCTTTTGCTCTTAGTTGGGGTTTTACTAGATTCGTTAAGGGCAAGATGCCGTTTTGAAACATGTAAATTTTGTGTATGGTCTTTAGGCTTTTTACTCCTTTTACAAGAAAGAGGGTTTGGATTTTTTGTCCCCTTCCGCTTTCTTTGTATCTTATCAAGATGTTCCTCCTGTATACCTTCTTCTTGCTTTAAGTGTTCAATTCGTTTTTCTATATCATTTGTTAATAGGTTTTGAGATTTTTTTAAAACATACTTTTTAGAAGCTTCTGAAGGCTCTTCTAAAACTGGCGTTGATTTATGCAAATACAACAAGCACCTGCCAGGTACTTTTCTTAGGCTTGTTTGTAATGTGCGGTCTTGAGAAGCAACAATATAACGTCCTGCATGCGCCTAAAACAAGTTGACAAGTTACATATATAAAATTTGAGGCAAAATATTTTATATTTACCATAGATTTAATGCATTGCGACGCTGACACTGGCACACCTTCATGGCCGCATTTGTGGACACAAAATTTTTTGACAATCATAGTAGCACCAGCGAGATTAGCTCCGAGAGATTCGGCTTCAAGTATTATACACTGCGTAGTAACCAGTTTTATAGTTGCATGAAAGTATTTTTTAAGCTGCTCCTCGATTATGACCTTATTCTGAAAAATCGTACATCAGAATTATGCCAAACTAGACGATGGAATTATACACCCGTATGCTGTAATCCGAAAGTTCATACGTTACGAATTCGTAGCTCCGTTCCGAGAATTAGAAAATTGGTATGCTGTAATCCGATCGTAACTATCAACGGCGTTGCCAACTACATTAGTGAAATTCGAAGTTCTTACTCAGCTGCTTTGGCAGAAACAAATCAAAATAAATATACATAATCGCAAGTGAATAGTGAAATTAAAAAAAAAATAGTTTAATCATTATTTGATATGACTTTTCCTTAATTAAGTAGAATACAAAGGATTCAGTGGCCGGCGCACTTTTGTCCCAGGAGGAAGAACAGCTTACAGTTGCATTAATATACAAAGGAGATTGCTAAGAGATTGTTCTGATCCATTCAGCTTAAATGATAAAATGTAGGCTCCCTCCTTTTAAGGGCATCCATTTCACTAGATATTGTGCCGCTTTAATTCTTGGAACGCTTTCCCGAAATTCCACCACATCCTCTTTAGCTCCTTTTACAAAGCCTCGACCAATGTCCGGCTTTTCGCTCATGTATTCCACCAGTTTTTCGTATTGCGAGCGATTTGTTGTGATCTTCGATCTGTTAATTTTGTAAACATTCAATAATACATTTTTTTTCATATCATATTCATTTTTACATATTTTTGCGTTTACACACTTTATTTTACTGATATTTTAAAACAATTTGTTTCGCTCCGACACGAGTTGCTATTCGTACAAAATTTCCGACAAATACATAAAAATGACAGCTACGTCGGATTCAGGCATACCAACATTACGAATTTCGAAGATTGCCTACGAATTTCGAAATTACGATACGACAACGCGGATTTCAACATACCAATTTTGCGATTCGTAGCAAAATCGAATCTACGACGGATTACAGCATAGGGGTGTACGATACAACACGGATTTCAGCATACCAATTTTACGATTCGTAGCAAAATCGAAACTACGACGGATTGCATTATAGGGTGATAAACTTACTTGCAATGCCGCTTGGCAAAATGTAGCATCAACTAGGACCTGGTACGGTTCTCGGTATTGAAAATTGGTTGCAAAAAATGTCACCGTTTTGTGCAACTTCTTGAACCGTGAAATCTTCATCTTTCACGCACTTTAGGATATCAAAATAAGACGCCATTAATTAAATATTATGAAAATAACAAAAAAAAAGGTACCTGCGAAATAATCTGATTCTAGAAAATGAATACAGAAGCAGTAAAGCTAAAAAATAAGCGAAACAGACCCTCGATCTAGGGATGCAAAAAAAACATCGATGCATCGGAAACATCGATGTTTGCTATCCGATGTATCGAATAAAATCGATGTTTTGGACCTTGCGATATACATCGATATGTCGATGGATTTTTTTTCGATACATCGACATTTGTGAAATGTACACTGTACCAAGACGAACATGATCGAAAGACACAAGATCACGTAAGAACAAGAGAGTCGGGTCTACGTAGCCGGAACGACCCAGATTTATATCTGGCCAAGGACTGTCACTCCAGCAACACTCCCCAAAACACCTTTGGGGAACTTGTATGCTGCTACAACAACAACAACAACAGAGTGAAAAAAGTCGATTTTTTGAGCGGGTTCTACGCCATCTTGTTTCACTGGAAAACGAGTGAAAAGTAAACAAAGCAAAGAAAACAACGAAAACCAAAATGCCAGCCACTTTAAACGCACAATTTAGGTAAAATGATGCAACAAAATGCTTTAAAATGTATTGTCATGTTGAATTAACTCTTCTTTACTTGAATAAAATTGTAAAATAGTGGTGCTTGTGATGTAAACAAACGCTCAGCTGACGAACCCGCTTCCGCAAACTTTTTTCTCAAAACCAGTTACAAATGCAACGTTCCGTTCTTACGTGATCTTGTATTTTTGGTTCATGCCAAGACGAATTTATACAAGGTGGTGGTAACCACAATTGGGGTGTTCACAGTTCGTTCCAAATAGTGTCTCAAAATGTAGACGTCTACATTTTAAGTGGTTTTCTAACCGTAAAATCTGTGGAGTTGTTGTTTCCCATACAAAATTGGAAAACGACGCTGTCTACATTTTGTCACACTCAAAGGTATGTTTTTTACGCGTCTACATTTTGCAACCTCGCAGCAGGGTTGCATTATGGCAATACTAATCCCATTTTTTTATTTATTGGGCAATTTCTGATGAAAAGAAACAAATCTAGGAAAAGAAATAACAATTATTAGGAATTGGTAATTAAGTTAAATAATTACAATTTTTCAGAAGCAAAATCGAAAGGCGCCATATAAAAAATGCACGCAAAGAAGAAATGTCTGGCAACACCAGCAAAGTTTTGAGACGATTTTGCGACGACTGCTAGAAAGGGGTGCTCACAGTTTGAAGCTAAAGATGTCTAAAAATGTAGACGTCTACATTTTCAGACACAATTTGGAACGAACTGTGAACACCCCAAATATAACCAGTAAACAACCTTCGGTGAATTTGGCGACTGCCTTCCTCGGGGTTGAATATGCTAGGGATGAAATTATTAGTACACACGCCTTCCAAGCACGCAGGGTTGCTTTTAATAAACAAAAAATAATTAACTCCAAGTAGTTTCAAAAAGTATAGTGAAAAACGAAATTTATTGAATAATTCCACATAAAATGGTATACATAAATGACTCATTTTCTAAACGATTTAAATAAAACACATTTCATAACCTTTTTGTGCAAACGGCATTTGCGAATTGATAGAAAAGTACTACGGATTGTAAATTTTTGTTAACTATGAGGTGAATGAAAATTTTCCACCCGGCCTGACGGTTTTGAAGAATTTTTTTGTTCTAATTTTATTACTAAGGCGTCAATAAATGCATGGCTTTTAGTTCTAGAAAAATAAAAGTAAGTAAAAACTAGTCTTTTTTGTATAATTTCTGATTTTAATTGCTCAACTTCCTTTGCACCAGAGCAACTGTCAAAAATTTCCAACAGTAAAAAGTTACGAATTGGCACAGCAGAAGCAGTGTATAATTTTCTCGCCATAATAAAAAGTTTTTTCAACATGGAGCTTTTCTACTAATTGACATGAAATTACTATCTCAACGCTCGGAGCGCTGCCACTGAGGGCTTTTGCCAACTGATAAAAAGAGAAGATTTGGAAATACCAAACAAAAATTTTGAGATTTCTCCTTGTGAATACGAATGCCATAGTTTTTGCCTAGCTCGTAGGACTACGCAAAATTTTGACAGCTTGTAAATATGTATACGCATAAAGTTGTTGGTGGTAATAAAGAGTCAAAATCAAAATGGAGAAAAGAAAAAGAAAGCGTACGTTAGTTGTCAGTTATAAAATAAATCCAATTTATTTGCGAATATTTGTTTATTCTATTTATTGAAAGGCAACCACGCGGAAAAGCTTGTGATAATTATATTGATAACAGAACCTGGCAGCTCGCACGTTGTCTAAATTCTCAAGTAACATAAAATCCACAAAAGAATACATTGCTTGTATTACCTTTAATATCGCCATGTATAAATTTTAACAACCCACAAAAATAGAGCTTTCGCACGAGCGTTTCATTGGTTTTTCAACACCATTTATAATTTTCTTTTAATAAAATCACGATTGGTCAAATGCTTAAATTTGTTTATCTAATAATATTGCAGCACACAACCCTGAAATCTAAGAAAAAGTCTGAGGAAGGCCATTAAATAGCAGCACACAAACCCGTGCCTTCCTCAGGAGTAAATATAACTACAACAACAACGACTACTACAACAACAACCCAAAAAGGTTGGTTACTGTCTATACTGTGGTGGTAACAGCTCAAAAGCAAAAATTACAATAACAAATTATAACCACATTGATAATCAGTACAAAACAAAATTGGAGCAAACACATCATTTAAACAAAAGGTACAAAGTCGTCGTGAAATCATCGGATCCGATAAATTGCCTTGTATAGATTCGCCTTGCACTGTACATACTAAAAATATTTTGTATGCTTTTAAACTCCTCGCTCCAGTAACTATCTATTCTAAATATGGATTTTTCATTATTTATGCACTATTAGAATATACATTCAATTAATATTAATCCAAAATGTTATTGCATTAACCATCTACAACATGATATTAATTGATCCCATGTTCTGACCGCCAACGAAAACAATTTGAAAACGTGTTTTGGGATTGTGGGCTGAAGGCTGTTCACACCGGCTGTTAGGGTTTTCGTTGACATTTCTTACATCCTCTGATTACAGTTTTGCTACACAAAAACAAAACCAAAATGCTTTTCCCTCATTTTCTTTTCATCACAGTATATACAGTAATACCATGTTCTGACCGACAACGAAAACACTTTGAAAACGTGTTTTGGGAGTGTGGGCTGAAGGCTGTTCACACCGGCTGTTAGTGTTTTCGTTGACACTTCTTACATCCTCTGATTACAGTTTTGCTACACAAAAACAAAACCAAAAGGCTTTTCCCTCTTTTCATTAGCAACCTCTTACTTTCATTTTTATTTTACTTTTGCCAGCCAATTAACAATAAATCCGAAATGGCGTATTAAAGATGATAAAATATGACTTCCACTTCGATAAATAATCGAAAAAAACTAGTGAAGACACCGATTGGAATGAGTGGAACGTGAGTTTTCAAGTAGTTTTCAGCGAAAACTGGTTTTCGTTTGACAGATTTTACATGGACGAAAACACAAGTTTTATGTCGAAAACCAGTTTTAGCAACGAAAACATGTTTTCGATGTCGGTCAGAACATGGTATAATATGATATTGACTCTCTAAAACCATTTGGAAATTTGGACAGATATTAAACAGCATATTCAAAAATTGTTTCACATAGCTTTTATCAACATAGAGAAATAATATAAAGTGTGCAAGCCAGTTTGATGTACGCTTATTTCAAAGCAAAATTTGAGTTTCTGGCATTAATCCTACGTTTTGTTGCATACCTCTGCCTGGTTTCGGCTTATGTCCTCATCCTTATGGACTGAAAACATCAGTAATGCAACGTTGTGTGTACTTTTGCAAAGCGACAAGAATTTAATGACATGTTTAGTTTTTTATTTTTTACCCAAATCATAAAACTTGACATAATTTCTCTCTCAAAAGGGTTAACATGAAAGTCAAATGAAGGAAAAAATTATGATAATAAATTTCCAAATAAGTGACCGAAATATAATGTCTAGCAATGACTCTGGCTCACTTAATATTATTTTATTATGCTTATAAATATTTACCTATTGTCGGCACTTCCATACCTTCCGAAAATTTCGAAGCCTTCTCAAAAGAACAGAAAAAACTGGGATTGGTAACTGTTTAAATAAATTAATACATTTCACAGCGAGTTATTACTTAAACACTAATCGAAGATACCATTGTTTCACTTTCATGTTGTATAGTTTTAATTGAAAGAAAATGCTGATATTTTCATTCGATACATCGAAAATATCGATGTTTTTATACGATACATCGATATGTATCGATGCTATATTTCGATGCATCAAATCGAAGAAAACATCCATGAACGAAAGACACAAGATCACGCGGGAAGGAAAGAACGAAAAAAGTTATTTTCTAGCTGCCGAAATCTCGACGCCATCTTTGTTGTAAGAAGTAAACACGTACACACGTTGTCACAAGCGAAAATGAAGAAAATTGCAGTAAAAAGCCACCACCAAATTGTAAACAACGAAGAAATGTAAATAAACGGCTAATGTCAAAATCGTTAAACTTTTTTCCTTAATGCGATTCTAACGGGCTACTCTCCTGCCCGCGTGATCTTGTCTTTTTGGTTCATGGAAAACATCGATGTATTTTTTTGACTTGCATCATGGCATGAACGAAAGACACACGATCACGTAAGAACAAGAGAGTGAAAAAAGTCGGTTTTTTTAGCGGGTTCTACGCCATCTTGTTTCACTGGAAAACGATCGAAAAGTAAACAAAGAAAAGAAAACAACGAAATCCAAAATTAGCCAAAATTATTGTCAGCCACTTTAAACGCACAATTTAGGTAAAATGATGCAACAAAATGCTTTAAAATGTGTTGTCATGTTGAATTAACTCTTCTTTACTTGAATAAAAGTGTAAAATAGTGGTGCTTGTGATGTAAACAAACGCTCAGCTGACGAACGCGCTTTCGCAAACTTTTTTCTCAAAACCAGTTACAAATACAACGTCGCGTTTTTACGTGATCTTGTATTTTTGGTTCATGCATCCCTACCTTGATGAGATTTCACACGAGTTTGGACTAGGGATGCCGAAAAAACATCGATTCTTCGAAAGCATCGG